CTGGCTAAGGCTTACTCCCTCAGAGGTCCCCGACTCACACTCAGACTCCCAGAGTTTTCAGGTTCCTGCCTATTCCTTTTGATGTCCCAGACCTATCCTGGTCCCACAGAGGTCCTGGCTCAGGCCTACTCCCTCTGAGGTCCCAGACTCATGCCTGGCCCTGCAGAGCTCTCTGGTTCCTGCCTACTCCCTCGGAGGTCCCAGATTCATGCCCAGACCCACAGGGGTCCTCACTTAGGTCTATTCCCTTGAAGGTCCCAGATTCATGTCAGGGCCCTAGTGGTCTCTGGCTCTGGCTCACTTGCTCAGTGGTTACTCCCCTGTACCTGTTCCAGTGGAGATTGCTGACTCTGGATCAGGTTGCTGACTCAATCCTGGTCAGCTAGTGACCCAGGACTGGATTGGCTCCTGGGACTGAATTGGCTTCTGTCCTTTGCTCCCATGGAGCTTGCTTTCTCAGGCCCACTCTGTCCTAGGTAGCTGGTTCAGTCCCACTCCTGTTCTGGTGGAGATCACTGACTCTGGATCCCAGATATTTGTTCTTATTAAACATAATTTTGTATTAGAACTCTAAAGGGGGAGGTACTGTAGGAGATCCTTCAGCCTTTAAGTTACCTGCCCAATTGGGAGTGGCCTCTTGTACTACAAATGTCTATGTAAAGCCAGTGCCTGATCTCTTCAGGCTGCCTGATTTGGTTGCTGATTTACCATTTGAGCAGAGGACTGTGATCTGTCCCTAAATAAATAACCCTCTATTGTACTCAATTCTGAGCTAGTGTGGGATTTCTTTTTAGCATCCATCTTCAATGGACTGTTTCAACACAGGAGGAAGCTGTTACACAACAGCAGCTGTGATGAAGGCCCTACTTCTGTTTTGGTCAGTTCATACTCTATAGAAGAGACCAAGCGGGTTCTGATGTGTTTTCCTCCAACAGAACACTAGGTGGCATTGTCTTTAGGGAGTAGCAGAGGGAGGGGGAAGGAGGCACTGAGGCCAGAGTGAGGAGGCTGGGGTTGAGTGCCTGCAGGCCAGTAGGATGTAAAATTCAAGTTATAGTTGTTGAGGAAGCAAGAGAGTTCTAGAAAGAGGGCAGGATTTCCATGGCTCTGGAGCACCACAGCAGCCCTGACCCCTCTACTGGTTCCTCTGCTCCTCCACTGGTTGGGGTCACTGCAGCCCAGACCAGTTTGTGGCAGGTGGCAGTGAATGGAAGAACAGCAAGAACAATGGATGTTGGAAGCCTGAGCCGTGGTGAGAATCACTCAGGAAAGACAGGAACAGGGGTGGTGACTGGGAGCCTTCCTCCTGTGAGGGTCACGTGGGAGCCCTGTCAGGAGTCACCCCTCCCCAAGTCCCAACATACTCGGTGCCAACAGTAACTCTTAACAATCGGAATGGTCAACACACCAACTAACACGTCAGCAACTCACATTGTCAGGACACTTGACAGTTCATCTCCATCTGATAACTAGTCCAGGCAGCCATGGTTGTTTTACCAGGGAGATAGGCTGTGGGGGCAGCATGGGCCCTGGGCAGCACAGAGGTAGTGGCAACCACAGCCCTTGTGGCCTGGACTGCATTTCAGTCTAAAGCCACCCTAACCCCGTATTCTCATTTGCTTCCTTGGAAGTTATGGTGTGAGGTCCAGCCTGGGCTACTGGGTTTGCAGGGAGCAAATGACTGCACAGCCTCAGTGCTCAGGGGTTTTTCTTCTGAGTCAGCCTGTGGCCTCAGCTGCCCTGTGGTTACCACGTACCAGGAGCTCTGCTTCGCTCCAGGCTAAAGAGACAGTCTGTGCGAGTTACTAACAGCCTGATGAGAAGCAGATTACTTGGCTCACAGTTAGAAAACAGATTGTCCCCTCTTCTCCAGGAAGCCATGGTGGCAGAGGCATGAGGCAGTTGGTCACATTGCCTCTAGTCATGAAGCAGGAAGCAGACAGGAAGTGGGGCCAGGCTAAGAAACTTCAAGACCCTTCAAGTGAACACTTCCTCTAACTGGACCCCAGTTGGAAGCAAATGTTCAAACATACAGTTTTTGAGGGAATGTCTCACGATCAAGCCACAACAGCCAGATTCACTGGGACTGGCACTGAGAACTATGGGAAAGGCAGGCGTGCAAATGTCTAGTCCCCCCCTCAGAGAAGAAAGTTGAGCTGCAAAGACAACTGAGACTAGACCAGCTGCCTGGAAGAAGCAGGAACGGGCTGAGCTGCTTGGAAGAGGTGCTGACCATAGTCACTTGGAAGGACACTCTCCATCCTACTGAGGGCCTGCAGGTTGTGCAGGGTGCTCCAGGTTCCCAGCTTTCGTGAGCTGTGCTGGGGTGGGTGTTACTGATGCAGCTGTCTGTGTCAATTGCATTTGGTTGGGTTACTCAGTCTAGGGGTTTGTAACCCACCCTGCAATCAGTTATTCCAGGGTCACGGAGGGGCGCTACCTGGAAGGGAATGAGCTAAGACAGAAGAAGAAGGCCAAGCAGATTTGTCAAAGCCTCCGTTTATTAGGGTCATGGTTGCTGCTTATATAGGCCCTGCATGAGGACTTGGTGGGCAGGGCACGGGATGCGCGTGGTCCCGGTCAAGTAGGCCAGGTTACATTCAGACAGGTAGGCCAGAAGTCACAAGTTGCCACACCTAGTTCCCTGGATAGCTGGAATGTGAGGCGGGTTCCGCTAACAGATTAGCAGTTAATTGGGTGAGGGGCAGGTTTTCTAAATAGAACATAATTATGGGTGTGGGGTTCTCTGCAGACTCCCCAGGGTGATTCCTGTAATGATCCTTAGGGGGGAAATGGCTCCTGACATGTCTGTACATTATTTCAGCTCCTGTATAACCCCTCACCCATAATTCTGTAAGTAACCACAATAAAACTCATTGGTTCACCAAGCTGTACTTCAGTGGTGTCTCTACTTGGGTCTGTCCTGGGTTCCTTCTCTGAGGTGAGCAGATGTGTGTGCTGTGTTTCTCTAGGAAAACTTCTGTCACACAACAGCTGCCCTTGGAGCTACTACCACCCATTTTAAGATAAATGTTTGTTCATTCATCTCTCTCACATGCTGAGGCTACAGCATGCAGCAGTGGCCACATACATTCTGGCAGGACAATGCCCTAGAGTCTAGGGAGTGAGTCTTTTTTGTTTGTTTCCAGACAGGGTCTCTATGTGTAGCCCTGGCTGTCATGGAACTTACCATGTAGACCAGGCTGACCTAGAACTCAAAGATCCACCTGCCTCTGCCTTCTGAGTGCTGGGATTAAAGGTGTACACCACCTCTTCCCAATGTGAGTCATTCTTAGTAAGGAAAGAGCCAGAACACTGCGGATTAGACTGTGGGGAAGAATCAGCTAGATAAAAGCAGGAAGAGGAGCAGTAAAGAAAGTCATTTACCCAATGATGAGTCAGAGAAAAGAGCAGAACACTCCAGACCACAGCCAGCATGCTTCTCGGCACACGAAGCTGCCCCAGCAGCTGCCCTCTGGCGTGTCAACACTGTGTGGTGAGTTTACCTGTGTACACCGTGGGAGTCCATTACAGGCAATATGCCTTTGAAAAGATCAAGGCCCAGAGGGCTTCATGGAGGAGGTGAAGTAGGAAGTTGGACTTTGGGGAATGGGTAGAAGATGGTCAGGTAAAAGAAAGAGTGAGGTACATGACATCTCCAAGGTGAGACTGAGATTAGGGTTTAGGGGCCTCACCACCAGGATAGGAGACAGGGATGGGCCAGGGCATCCTCACCACCAGAATAGAAGTGCAGGGATGGACCAGGACATCCTCACCACCAGAATAGGAGTGCAGGGATGGACCAGGACATCCTCACCACCAAGACAGGAGTGCAGGGATGGACCAGGACACCCTCACCACCAGGATAGGAGACAGGAAGGGACCAGGACATCCTCACCACCAGGATAGGAGACAGGAAGGGACCAGGACATCCTCACCACCAGGATAGGAGAAAGGATGGACCAGGACATCCTCACCACCAAGACAGGAGTGCAGGGATGGACCAGGACATCCTCATCACCAGGATAGGAGACAGGATGGACCAGGACATCCTCACCACCAGAATAGGAAGACAGGATGGACCAGGACATCCTCACCACCAGGATAGGAGACAGGGATGGACCAGGACATCCTCACCACCAGGATAGGAGTGCAGGGATGGACCAGGACATCCTCACCACCAGGATAGGAGACAGGAATGGACCAGGACATCTTCACCACCAGAATAGGAGACAGGGATGGACCAGGGCATGGGGTGGTGCTCCACCAGGATAGGAGTGCAGGGATGGACCAGGGCATGGGGTGGTGCTCCACCAGGATAGGAGAAAGAGATGGACCAAGGCATGGGGTGGTGCTCCATCAGGATATGAAGAAACAGGCAGAGGAAGAACTGGAGAGGGAAAGGGATACCAGGAGAGGCTCTGAGGCTGGGCAGCTACAGCGGACCAGCTGCCAGTAATTGAGGCTCGTTGTCATTGCCTCCATTCATTCCCAGAACTCTCAGAAGCTGATTAGCAATTGTTCCTCCAGCTTCTGAGAGGCTGGAGGATTGCAGGGGTGTTGGGGGAGAGAGGCCAGGGGATTGCAGGAGTGTGGGAGGAGAGGCCAGGGGATTGCAGGGGTGTGGGTGAGGAGAAATAAGGGGATTGCAGTGGTGTGTGTAGGGAGAGGCCAGAGGATTGCATGGGTAAATTGGTATGCAGGAGAGGTTAGGAGATTTTGGGGGTAAGGGGGATGAGGGGAGTTTAGGGATGGGGAAGGTAGGGAGTTGCAGGGGTGGGGAGAGGTCAGGGATTGCAGGAGTGAGTGGGGGGGAGAGGACAGTGGATTATAAATGTAGGTGTGCGGGGAGGCCAGCAGTATTGCAGGGGTAGGTGGGGGAGAGGCCAGGGGCTTGCAGTGATGGGTGGGTGTGCTACGCCAGCGCGGGCTGGAACCAAGAGTCTCGGCGGAGGGTGTCCAGGTTGAATGAATACACAGAGCACGAGCTTGAGGTGGAACAGCTTTTTTTTATTGCCTGCTGGGCTGGTTTTATACCATGGCACCAAATGAGGAGGGGGCTGCGAAGGGACTGTAACCTGACCCTAGCAGAGATCAAGGACTGGTCACCATGCACTTAAAATTCCTTCCTTCTCCGCTCCAGGAGCAGAGGGAATTTATTATGTTTTCCTTGCAGATAAGCACCTCAAATGGGGGCAGGGATATCAACTCGGGGGCTGCAGTTCCCACAATTCCCCCTATTTTATTTTATAATGAGGGGTCCTGTCTTAGGTCCTGCGAGAGAAGTACCTTCCCTTACCCGTCATAGGGCCCCCGATGCCCTGTCTTAGGTGGGGGGTCTCCCCACAGGTTGCCCGTCCTTGGAGACCCTCATTTTTTCAGCATCTGTAGCCACACTTCATGACTTCCAGGAGAGTCATGCGTCAGACTGAGTAACACCTGACGGTGGACAAGCTCAGTCAGGGTGAAGATGTTTAAGACTCGTTTTAAGAGGAGCAGACCTACTGCCATCCCTACTAGTCCCAAGATCCCCAGGGATAAGGCACCTCCCCATCGCTGTGCCCAACCCCCAATCTGGGCCATGGTATTCCACCATCCTTCAGCAGATACAGGTTTAACACGAGTTTCATTAATTGCAATAATTTGATGTACCAAAGAGTGGGTAAAGTTTACAAAGGAATCATTCCAAGGCCCCCTAAGATAAGCATTAAGGCGTTGCACCTCAAAGGACATATTTTTCACTTCCATAAGGGTTACACAGGCAGAATGATAAAAATGAGAACAAGAGGCTTGTTGCACCATCCACAACACATTAATCTGTTCCTGTAATAAGGCCGTTTGCTGGTTTAAATTTAACATCCCCAATTGAATATGTGAGTTAATGGTATTTTGAGTTTCTAAGGCCTGGGTAACACGGGCAGCAAGAGTGTTAACAGTCTCTGCAGTAGCTGCACTCTGGGACACGGTGATTCCTGCAACGGTGGCGGCTGTGGCTGATATGGCGATAGCTGCAATGACTGCGGCGGTGATCCCAAAGTCTCTTCTTTCTCTATACAAGATAAGCTCTCGTCCATCATGTGGGTCTTCTACCACCAGGGGAACCAGGGCAGGAATTCTCACCATCAGCACGGACTCATCTGTCGGGGACCAGCAGTTGCTCAAAAAGCAGGAGCTGGAAGAACAATTAAGGACACCATCCTCCCCGACCGACCCATTAAAGGAAACAAACATAAAAGGAGGTAGAACACAAGCTAGGCTGACAATAGAGAAATTCATTCCCGCTGCATAATTAATCTGGAGGGAGGTTTCAAAGATGTCCGATGTGTTCCATCGGGCTGTAGCATTGAAGGCCAAGCCCCTTTGAAGGGCTAAAGGTCTAATATCTGTACATGCACGAGGGCCACAGAGAAACATGCCTGCAAACGTAGGTGAAACTCCTGCCATATTTGGATTTCTATAGGAATAATCAAAGGCCCCTCCCAAGGAGTTTTTAAAGGTAGGTCTGTGACCAAACCACCATAAATATTTATCTCCCTCCAATTTCCATGGTTCCTTAGGAGCACAATTTCCCCAAGGCAATGGTAAATATAATTTGAAGGATTGTGGCGTCTTCCAACATAAGGGAGCTGGTCTCGGAGGGGTAGGGAGTCCAGAAACATTTCTTTTAAAATTTATTGGGTAAAAGATATCTCTCAATCCAAAACAGGGATGTCCAGACGAATTAGAAGAGAAGTCTCCCAGAGAATAATTACTAAGGACCACACATGGTCCAGAAAGGGAAGCACTAGGCATCGCTGAAATATTGTTAATCCTCCGGAAGCAGAGGGCATGGGATATATCAAACGTTAAATTACCCAGTGAGGATCTTTCCAATGCTGTATTTGCTGCAGGAACTCCCAAGGTATAATTGGTGGAGTAAAAGGATGGAAAAACAGAGCTTATTTTACTTACCGGCATCAGTATGGGTGGATTCCTCACCAGTGCCCATCTCAGGCCTCCCTCGATGTTCTTCACTTGAACCCATATTATCAGGGCTAGTAGGGCCCGACTCCACTGGCCGAACATTCCGCTCTGGCACCCAGATGGGTTTTTTGGTTCCTGGAGGGAAGACACAAATGGCTCCCCTCACCCTAGCCAGCATAGGTGTGGGTGATTGCCATTGTCCTGTGATACTATCCTTCCATATAACCCAGCCCAGAGATTGGGAGGGTTTCTGCCAATGTCTTTCCATTGCTGATAGACCTTGTTTATCTACTGTTAGAAAATTTAAAATGTATAAAATTGTAGATAATTGGGTATTTGGGGAGGTGATATACTCCCCCTTCTTTATTTTACAAAAGAACTGTTTAAGGGTAGCATGTGTGCGCTCCACTATGGCCTGTCCTGTAGGATTATGTGGAATTCCAAAGGTATGTGTAATTTGTCGTTCTTGGCAAAATTTTGCAAACCGTTGGCTGGTATAAGCCGGTCCATTGTCTGTTTTGAGAAAGTCTGGGATGCCCATATAGGCAAAAGCCTGTAGGCAATGGGCAATAACATCCTTAATCTTTTCCCCTGAATGTAGGGAGGCATAAATTACCTTGGAATAAGTATCTACAGAGACATGTAAAAATTTAAGTCTGCCAGCTTGGGACAAATGGGTAACATCCATCTGCCAAAGGTGGTTAGGACGGAGGCCTCGAGGATTAACACCTTCGTTGGGGGCATTATGAAATGGAGCACAAGCTGGACATTGGGACGTGATTTGAGTAGCCGTGGCTAGAGAACAGCCAGAGTGAAACTTTAGAGAAGAGGCATTTAAATGATACTTTTCATGAAGATGACGGGCTCGTTGTTCCTGAGAAAGGAACAATGCCATTGGGCGGGTGAAGGAATCAGCAAGCTTATTTCCCTCTGCCAAGGGCCCTGGCAGATCAGTATGGGCCCGAATGTGGCCAACAAAGCCAGGAAACACTCTTTGACATATAAGACTTTGCAGCTGAACCAAAAGGTGGGAAACCTGAGAGGTAGGTAATATGTATGGTGAGGTTTCCAATGGCCCAACAATCCTTGCCACATATATACTATCAGTATACAAGTTGAAGGGTTGATCCTTGAAAAGAGAAAAGGCCATAAGACAGGCCGTGAGTTCTGCAGCTTGGGCAGAAATTGGACCTAGGGGCTGCTTTTCTTTAATTGAATCAGAGACTACCACTGCATAGCCCTTGGAAGAACCATCAGTGAATACTGAGCGCACTCCCTTAAGGGGGGAAGTTTTAATAATTCTTGGAAAAATAATAGGATGATTCTTAAAAAAGGAAATTAAACGGGAATCAGGATAATGGTTATCAAAAATGGCTCCAGTGGTGGCGATGAACAAGGTCCATCCATCTTGAACCCTCTGTAGCCTTGTTATTTCCTCTTTTTGATAAGGGATTAGAAATTTATTTGGGATCCTGCCAAAAACTTGTAAACTAAAATCATATGCCTTCCATAGGAGCTGTAGCACCATTTCATAATATGGAGTCACCACCTTCTTAGGGGAAGCGGGTAAATGCAGCCAATAAATTGGTCCCCCTTGCCAAAAAACTCCAGTAGGAGAAAATTGTGAAGAAAAGACCATGAAATAAAAAGGGTGGGCATAATCAAGGCGGCGGAGATGTGCTCGCTCAAGAGCATCAAGCAAGGCATACAGGGCTTCTTTTGCCTCTGGAGTCATGATCCTGGGGGAGGCAGGGGAAGGGTCCCCAGGCAGCATGTCATACAGGGGCTTAAGAGTTCCTGTAGGAATGGAAAGGGAGGAACGGATCCACTGAACATCTCCCAATAATTTCTGCCAGTCATGGAGGGTCTGCAAATGTGAGCAATCCAGCTGCAGCCTCTGAGGCTGAAGCCCAATGGATTGGATTTGAAAGCCCAGATAGGAATAGGGGGGCTGCATCTGCACCTTCTCTGGGGCCAAAATGAACCCATATTCCTCCAGAAGGGTCTGTAACTCTGAAAACATTAATAAACTTTCCTCTTTTGCTGGTGCTGCCAGAAGTATATCACCCATATAAAGGACACTATGGTAGGAGGAAAACTTATGCCTAAGTGGATCCAAACAAGCTGCAACATACATTTAACAAATTGAAGGACTGGCAGCTCTGTCCTGGATCGTTAGGGTCAGGAATTTTTACAACAGGGACAATCACTGGGTAGCACTTAACGCCTCCGCAGGGAGCCTCCTCCTAGCAGAGCGTCCTCCGAGCCCAACTAAGTGGGAGGGGCTGGAGAGGTCCTGAACTGGTCAGAAAGAGGATAGGGAGGGGGCTTGTCCTGCTCCCCAGAGGTCCCCTTTGTCTTTTCTTTTAAACGGGCCCTGCGTAATTCTCGCTGCAGCGCTGCGATTTCTCCCTCTAAAACTTCTTCTTCTGAATCTGTTGATTCCCCCAAGCTCTCTTCAAAATCAGACAAAGAAGGGTAGAGGCGTGTTTGCGCCGAAGAATTTTGCTTGGGACGAGCCCCTAAGCTCTCAGAGGAAACTGCGTCCCGGGAGTCACTTCCCTCCCCCTTGTCTGGAGGTTTTCGCTTTCTTTTAACCTTTCTCTCCTCTACCTTACCTGGCTTCCCCTTAGCAGGCTGAGAAAGCGGTTCGGCCTCCGCATCAGAGGCAATATCAGAACAAAGGGAAGCCTTAGTCTCATTGTCTTGAATCTCAGATAACACCTCTTTTGTTGCTTCCAAAGCCTGCTTAACCCGGACTTTCTCTGTAAGCAAAGCATCCCTGATCAGTCTCCAAAGGGAGAACGTGGCCATTGGCAGGACCTCAGGCCCCTCCTTTCTCAACGTTTTCTGAAGATCCCCACGGACCTGTTCCCACTCAGAAATATTGAGGGCTCCACTGGTGACGAACCAGGGACTCCACGTCTCTATAGTTTTAAGAAAATCTTCTAAAGTCTTAGTTTTTACAGCTGTTCCCTGCTCTTTCAATAATCTCTTTAACTGAAACTTCAACTCCGATTTACTCGTAATATTTCCCATATTTCTTAATTAATTAATTAATACCCCAATGCGTCCTGGCCGGCTTACAGGACGACCCAGTCCACTTACCTCACTTTCCGATCTCGGTGGGACCTCCAGATGCCGCGCCAGCGCGGGCTGGAACCAAGAGTCTCGGCGGAGGGTGTCCAGGTTGAATGACTACACAGAGCACGAGCTTGAGGTGGAACAGCTTCTTTTTTATTGTCTGCTGGGCTGGTTTTATACCATGGCACCAAATGAGGAGGGGGCTGCGAAGGGACTGTAACCTGACCCTAGCAGAGATCAAGGACTGGTCACCATGCACTTAAAATTCCTTCCTTCTCCGCTCCAGGAGCAGAGGGAATTTATTATGTTTTCCTTGCAGATAAGCACCTCAAATGGGGGCAGGGATATCAACTCGGGGGCTGCAGTTCCCACATGGGTGTAGGGAGATTCCAGGATTGCAGAGATGGAGTGGAGGAGGCCAGGGAATTGCAGGGGTGTGCATGGAAGGGGAGAGGCCTTAGAAGGATCCACATGCAATCTAGGAGGATCGAGAGAACCCTCAGCAAGAGCCCTAGCTCTCTTGCCCCTCTGTGCCCGCCCTCTTCCCAACCACACCTGAGGGAAATACCTGACTATACGGAGACCCAGAGAGACGGAGAGAGGCCTCCAAAACTGAGTTCAGAAGGGATGGCAAGATAGCTCAGCAGGTAAAGGTACTTGTTGCCAAATCTGAGGACACAGTTTTGTAGCCTGAACCCACATAGTAGAAAGCCATGTACTCAGAGCCACTAACTTGGGTCTCACCCTGGTCCCAACCGAGTCTTGAGCTAGGAGCTAGGAGAGCATCCTAGCCACCCAGAGCATCTGGCCACTCCCCTACAGACCCCTAGGGAAGTGTGTGCACAGTGGCTTCTCAAACACCCTGAAGGCACTCAAGAAGAAATCCACCAAACAGAACCAAGGCCTTGGTCAGTCATTCTGCTTCCTAGTCCTGATCCTCATCAGGGAAAGGGGAATCCATAGCAGCGGAGGGGCTGGAGCCTGGCTCTGGAGAGTGTATGTCAGCAGGTACCAGGCCGGGGGTGCATCTCCAGCTCCAAGAAAAACAGCAATGGAGAAGCTGCCCTGTGACCATGATTTTACCCAATACAAAAAAAAACTGGTTTTGGTGTGTTGTGAGTTTTACATTGTATTTTACTGACTCCCCGCTCCCCTAAAGATTGCTGCTCTTCCCATGTTGTGAGTAACCCCCAAGATTAAGGTTAAGATCCACAGATTTGAGAAAGGCCACCTAATTTGAACAGCCAGGTAGCGGAGGTTCTCAACCTGTGGGCCATGACCCCTTTGGGTCAGAGAACACTTTCACAGGAATCACATGTCAGATATCCTGAATATCAGATATTTACATTACAATTCATAACAGGAGCAAAGTTACAGTTATGCCGTAGGGGGTCACCACGGCGTGAGGAAGTGTGTTAAAGGGCTGCAGCATTAGGTAGGTTGAGAACCACTGAGCTAGAGTGATTTCAGGATTGAGGGAGGCAGTGCATGGCCCTCACCATACGGTGTGGGGCTGTCTTTATACTCAGGGATTGGCGGTGTTGGCCTCTGACAAGCCTAAGCAAAGGTCAGCCGTTACTACCTCCCAGCATTCAGAGTGGCAGCAGTTGTGAGGACAGCCTGGGGCTCTAGTGAGCACACCAATTTTTGATGTGGAAGAAAGTAAAGGCACACGTGAGGGCCTGGTTCTGGGCTGTCAATGCCCCTTGAGCATGTGACCCTGTGAGAAAGTCCCTCCCCATATTCCGTGGAGTGTTAAGAAGTGGGAGAGGACCGGCACAGTATCCTGCTGAGTCCTGGCCACCCCAGGTCAAGGGGCTCCCTGCTGCTGCAAAAAATTCCTTGAGGAAGTGGATGGAAGAGCAGTGAGAACCAGGTGGAAGCCGGAAGTGTCAATAACAGCTAAGGTGAGCTGCCACCATCTGTGGGCGCCCCTTAAAACCTGCATTCCTACTGTGCTCTGCAATCTGCATTCCTACTGTGCTCTGCGAGCTGTGAGCTGCCCAGAGAGAAATACTTCCATCACTGGGTCACTGAATAAGAGCAAGGACTCTGAAATCAGGCTGTTGTTCCCATCTCAACTCTGTCACTAGCTTGCTGTGTGTTCTTGGCCGAATAACTTCGCCTCTCTGTGCTCTGGTTCCTTCAGGTGCACAGTGAAAATAATGAGAATCCCTGCTTCAGGACCGTCATGAAGATTGCATGAGAAAGCATCCACAGAACACAGCTATAGAGTCCTCAAGGGGCAGTGAGACGGCTCAGTAGGAAAGCATGCTTGCACTGCAAGCCTGGAAACCTGAGTTCTCCTGGAGGACAGAACTGAGTCTGCACAGTTGTCATCTGACCTGCAGGCATGCACTGTGATATGCACGCCCCATACACACTGTATGCAGTACACACATATGCATAACAAGTAATTTAAAACTCTCTAGGTACAAGAGAAGCATTCAGGATGCTTGTTACTGCTCTTAGGTCTCTGGTCCCTAGGATTCATAAGAGTGTTTACTTTATGTTCCCTCTCCAGGACAAAGCTGGGGGCCAGGGGTTTAGTGCTCACTTCACGTTCCCTCCCCTGAACGTAGCTGGGGTCAGGGAGATGGCTTAGTGAGCCAGGGGCTTGGTGCACAGGCATGGGGACCCGAGTTTGAGCCCCAGGACCTGAGTAAATGCCAAGTGTGGCAGTGCCCGTGGGGGATGGGTGTGCACGGAGACAGGTGAATCCTTGAGGTTTGCTAGCTGGCCAGTTTAGCCAAAGCAGTGAACTTCAGCTTCAGTGAGAAACCCTGTCTCAAAAAATAAGGTGAAGGGTGATAGAGGACACCACTGTCAACCTCTGACACACACACACACACACACACACACACACACACACACGTCAATATGACCGAACAATGGCCACTCCTTTACATGGACTGAGAGTTATTCTTGGTTCCCACCTCGCAGCCTCACAAGCCCAACATAGCAGTCACAGACCTTGGAGGTATGTCTGGGCACAAATTCAGCACAGTGAGCAGCATGGAAGACACAGATGCCAGAGAAGGCAAGGCTGCTGCCTGCAGGCTCTGGAGACTGCAGGACCTGAAGGACAAACAGAAAGAGAGGGGAGTGGAGAGCAGGCCAGTAAGCTCTCATTCCAGGGACTCCACTCCCCTAGGGCGCCTGGAATGCAAAGCCTCAGGTGGGGAAAGCTGCCCCACAGGTGCACAGGCCCAGATGCAAGAATGTGGGAGGAGTCGGCATGGATTTGAAAGGGAACTTTCAGTCAAGAATCACCAACAGCTTAGGCCAAGACCAGTGCTGCACAGCCTCCCTCCTGTCTGAGGAGCAGCTCAACCTGACTCTAGTGTCCTAGGCTCAGGCACTAGAGCAGCAGACTCAGGAGGGAGGTGGAGGCTCCTGCGAGATCAGGTAGTGAACAGGTGAAGGGCACCCACCACATCCCAGTTGCCTAGGTCCTCAGAGTGCTTCACAGAGCTTGGCCTGTGCTCAGTGATTCACAGGGCCTGTACCTGCCAGGACTCCTGCAGGGACAGTCAACTGCCAGGGCTCCTGCAGCGACAAGCACAGAGCAGTTCTCAGTGAGAGAGCCTATGCTCCAACTCAGCCTGGATCCTGGAGGACAGTGGGGCTAGCGGGAGAGGGAACTCCGAAGGCCTTGCCACGCGTGGCAATGGCTGCACAGGGACGGAAGGGTACTTGCCTGAGGCCACCTGGGAGGAAGTGGTCACATTCTTGTGATTACAGTCCTTGGATTAGCTGTTCTAATCCCCAAGCCAACACGTTGGTACCAAGATCCAACTGAGTTAGATCACTCCCAAATCTGGAACCCCAGTGGGTTCTAAGAGAAGGACTGGGACCCACAGTCACGTGGATGGTCCGTGGTTTCTCCTCTGCATACCAATGCTAAGGTTATCCAGAGTTGGTGAAATGCTGCCCAGAATCCTGGGTGTGTTTCCCTGCAAAGACCAGAAAAGGCTGTCCACTGGATCAAGGTCACACAGCGGAGAAGCCTGGACTAGCCACCTTGGGTCCTGTGAGTACTGTCCTGCCCTTCTGCCCAGGCTGCCCTAGGTTGGCTTAGCTTCTGTGGGGAAGCACTGCCTGGCAGGCAGGCAACGTCTCTCTATGCAGTCCGTGGCTCTGGTTACCCCACCATTTCATGAGTAGTGATCAACCGAGGCTGGGCTTTATCAGACATAAGAGGGGGAGCCCATCCCTTCCCTCCAAGGCCACTAGAAGCCCCCAGCGCAACAGTTTCTCTGAGGATCTGACCACAACACCTTGGTCAGAACCACCCATCCAGACCCTTGGCGTTGCCACTGTCCTCAACAGACATCAGAGGACACACAGGCAGCTCGGGGAGGTGGGAAGGACCTCAGACATCTGAGGAAAATGAGGTGAGGGAAAGCAAACTCTTGATTGATCAGTGGGGCCCAGAGACCTCCGGAGGGAATGAACATGGAAACATCACAGAGAATGCTACCAGTGTGTGGGAGGGGGCGCGGCGCGGGAGGGGGCGCGGCGCGGGAGGGGGCGCGGCACGGGAGGGTGAGCGTGACTTCCCTGTCACTCCTGTGAAATGAATCCAGAGGCGCCTTCAGAGACGTACGTGATCACCGGCATCTCTAGCCGGAGTTCGGGGCCTGTGTGGTCTTTCCTCACCCCTTGCTTATGCCGTCGGCCAGCACACTCTGTTCTCATCCACACTCCCTGTGCCTCTGCTGTGGGGCTGAGCGGAGACACAAGCTGCAGAGGGAAAGCTTCCAAAGGTCTCGGTGTCCAGCTTCTTCACCTTTCCGAAAGGAAGCAGGCCCAGAAAGCTCAAGGACATTCACATCGCAGGTGAAGCCAAGATCTGTAAACCAGCCCAGTCCTTAGCTGAAGCAGCCTGGGTCAAGGCAGGGCCTCCTCTGCTGCTCTCTAGTGGCCATGGTATAAACTGCGGTCTGGCCGACCAGACTGCCTTAGGTGATGTCCAACGATCCTGTGTTGGTTCCTTGGTGTATTCCTGGGGAAACTCACCTCAGTACTGGCCCGGGGTGCGGGGGGGGGGGGGGGGAATCTCATCTCCTTCTTGTTTCCCACTCTGAAATGTCCTGAAAGATAAAGGTCACGAGAATGTCCTCACCCAAGGCTGCCCCCCGCCCCCCCCGAGGCAGGCAAACTGGGAAGATGGACCAGCTTAGCGCTGCAGAGTGAGCATTAATTTCAGGGCTCAAACACCACTCCCCAGCCACATCTGGGCATGATCTTCAACCCCCTTCTGCTCCCACCCTCTTGATT